GAGTCAGTTATAGCTGAGATTATAAGAAGCCATCTCGATAAGCATAGCTTGATTAATGATACTCAGCATGGATTCACAAGAGGCCGGTCTTGTCTAACTAATTTATTAACTTTCTTCAGTAAAGCTTTTGAGGCTGTTGTCCACGATAAAGAATTTGATATTATTTACTTAGATTTTAGTAAGGCTTTTGATAGAGTTCCGCACCAAAGACTGTTAAAGAAAGTGGCAGCTCATGGCATTGGGGGAAAAGTGCTCTCGTGGATCGAGTCATGGCTCACAGACAGGAAGCAGAGAGTGTCCATAAATGGGTTAAATCCGAGTGGGGATCTGTAACAAGTGGCGTTCCACAGGGATCAGTCTTGGGCCCGTTGTTGTTTTAAATATATCAATGACCCTGATAGGGAATTACTAGTTATGAGCAAATTCGCCGATGACACAAGATAGGTAATAATTGATTCAAATGTAACTCTAAACTTAACGAGATTAAACTATCGCTCCCGGTCAGATGTGAGACCCATACGTTCTATAAAGCAGTTCTACGTCGGGATTCACATAATATTGATAAAGACAAGTTTAAAGGCTGGTTAGCTGTTTCTAAATAAGAATGAAGTGGATGGATGCAGACTAAGTGAACCAGGGTGATAAGCAACGTAAGGATTTAGTAATAACAGGAATTAGCAGGAAGGGTAAAGAAAGAAGAGAGTGTTTCATTGGTTTATATATAATAGCCGTACGTGCTAGAATAGATGACGAGTTTGTCAATTACAGAATGAGTAAATTGTTATGAATATTGCTAACTGAGACAGTGGTTTAATTCAAAATCAGGACATCTCTGGGAATGCAATTCTGGTTCTTAAATTGTTCAAGAAAAGAAGATCGGGGAAGGGGGGTGAGGTGGAATTGTATATCCGGATCTTGAATGTTGCATAAAAATAGGGTTTCCAATGAAGAACCCATAAGGAGTTTTTGGATAGAATTTTTAGAAGGGCATGAAAAATTGTTTTAGGAAGTGGATATACGATGCCCATACCTTATTAGGGTACAGGGCGGAACTACTATGGGAGGAATATGTTAAGGCCATTTAGGTCGATAATGTAGTGATGTTAGTTTGATGGACACAATGATACTATTTGACATTATTGGTGGCAACGTTTGCTCTCCAAGGAGCTTTTAGTCAGCATGCTTGTAAAGCTCCTGGAGAGCGAAACGTTGCCACATCATTTCAATTGTTGCATTGGGTTATGCTTTTACTTTGGATATTGTCGGTAATTCTACCACTTATTACAAGATAAATTTAGGAACTTAACTTTAGTCATATGACTTTTTTTTGACTGAATTGAAAAATCAATAAACTTTAGAAGTATCAGGATTGTAGTTTTAGACCTCGGTTTTTACGAACCTACAGGAAATAACTGTTGATTAGTTTCTGGAAATCAATGAATCCCTTGTTAATAATTTAGAAAATTCAAGGAACTGGTTTCTTGGCCAAAATCAATTAATTTACATTTTGATGAAAGTACGATAAGTAGCGATACTCAGTAACAGTCCGATTTTCGGCTAGCATATTACGTGGGCTTGAGAACATTCATAATACTGACGGGTTTACGAAGAAGCTACAATATGACAAGTTTTTGAACACTATACTTGAGTCAAAGAAGTTTACCACCGATATTAAAGAAAAGGACATCAAATAAATGCACAAATGATGAATAATGGCTCCAAGCTTTATAAGGCATAAGAAAGAATTTAAGTATCAAAGAGGTGGGTCATCTTATGAATCAGTTAGTGACATTAAGGGGACATTAAAAGGGTATAGAATAAGCTAAAAGGGACTATGAATTAAAGTTGCTAGGGATTCTAAAATAACCAAAAAGTTTTTTTCCAGTTATAGAACAAAAGTTAGAGATAAGAAGGTCCCTTAAAAATAACTAATGGGCATCTTACTGAAAAAGAGAATGAAATGTGCTCGATTTTTAATATTATTTTCTCTCGGTTTTACACAGGAAGACACTACAATATTCCAGTAATTAATTTTTTAGTGGGCTAGAAGAAGATAAATTATGTAACATCACAGTCACTAGTGAAATGGTTGTGAAGCAGATAGATGAAGAAAATTTAAGTCGCCGGGTCCTGATGAGGTTTTTTCAAGGGTTCTTAAGGAATGCAAAATGGAACTCTGTGAACCATTAACTAATATTTTTAATTTATCTCTTCAAACAGGTGTAGTGTCTGATATGTGGAAGATGGCTAATGTAATTCCTATTTTTAAAACAGGGGACAAGTCGTTACCGTCAAATTACCCCCCAATAAGCCTGCCCTCAATTGTAGACAAATTACTAGAGTCAGTTATAGCTGAGATTATAAGAAGCCATCTCGATAAGCATAGCTTGATTAAAGATACTCAGCATGGATTCACAAGAGGGCCCGGGCTTGTCTAACTAATTTATTAACTTTCTTCAGTAAAGCTTTTGAGGCTGTTTTCCACGATAAAGAATTTGATTTATTTACTTAGATTTTAGTAAAGGGTTTTGATAGAGTTCCGCACCAAAGACTGTTAAAGAAAGTGGCCAGCTCATGGCATTGGGGGAAAAAGTGCTCTCGTGGATCGAGTCATGGCTCACAGACAGGAAGCAGAGAGTGTCCATAAATGGGGTAAATCCGAGTGGGGATCTGTAACAAGTGGCGTTCACAGGGGTCAGTCTTGGCCCGTTGTTGTTTATAATATATATCATGACCTTGATGAGGGAATTTCTAGTGATATGAGCAAATTCGCCGATGACACAAAGATAGGTAGGATAATTGATTCAAATGTAGACGTTAGGGAACTTCAGGAGGATTTAAACTATTTTTCTTGGTCAGAAAAGTGCAGATGCAGTTCAGTTGAGTTTAAAAGCAAGGTTCTGAAGCTCGGGAGTGTCCATAACCCTAGCACTTATAAGTTAAATGTTTTAGAACTTAGCCATACAGATTGCGAAAAGGGGCTTGGGGGTTATGGTGAGCAGCAACCTTAAACCAAGACAGCAATGCCTAAGCGTACGTAATAAGGCAAATAGTTACTGGGATTTATATCAAGAAGTGTAAGCACAGAAGTCCAGAGGTCATACTGCAGCTTTATTACATCATTAGTAAGCCTCACCCAGATTATGCAGCTCAGTTCTGGTCTCCGTATTACAAAAGGACATAAATTCGTTAGAAAAAATCAGCGTAGGATGACTAAATTAAATTTACATAGGCATAAAAACTTTCTTATGAGAAAGATGAAAGCTCTTATTACATCACTGGTTGAGACTTTGAGGGGAGACCTGTTGAGGATATAGTGGAAGATATATTATTAAGGGTATTAATAAGTCTTGAGGTGTCCTCCAAGGAGAACCGCAGAATGGATTTAATTAGATAAGTTTAGATTTAGAAAGCTGGAAGTATGTTGGAATAGGGTCAGTTGATGAGCTCCTGAAGTCCTACATAAGGTTTTGAGTGGGACTTGGAGTGTTCAAATTGGTTGGATAAGTAATGTGGGGAGGGGTTGGATTTGAGTGGGACTTGCACATCAGAGCTTATCTCTTGGGTGGCATTGAAAATTGGGTTGGGCAAATGTTTTGTTAGTGGGATGAATTGTAAAGGACCTGCCTAGTATGGGCCAACAGGCCTGCTGCAGTTTCCTCCTTTCTTATGTTCTTAATGATTGGTAATGAGTTTGAGGAGGGTGAGAAATCTCTGTTTACTATGTCTGCATCACCTAGAAAATATACAATACATCTTTCAGAGAGTAGGAACGAGAGCCTGTTTTTAATACTTACCTAAAAACTCAGATAATCCTATGATCTCATGAGAACGAAAGAGAGCCTTCGTTATCATTCTTGCCTCAGCTATCAGAAATAACAGTATTTCTTAAGTCCATCGACTACACGCATAAAGTAATAAATACCAAGAGTTTATTTCTTTGCAAGGTACAATGTGTAATTACCAATTTTGACTAAATACAAGACAGCCAACTATCATGCGGGCTTTCTGGCAGACTAGTTTCAGTAAGGGCTGTTGGTAATAAACCTTGTATAAATACCGACAAGTTGGTTAAAGACACGTAACACAACACTATAATCAACCCCTTATGATAAAGAAAAATTTCAGTCACTGGGACCTTGATCACTTCTCAACGGTCCCCGTGATCAAGGTCCCAGAGCGAAAATCTTTCTAATAAATATGTTATAGTGTTGCTTACTGTCTTTCACTAAACAGTAAGTGCTGACAATGTTCATCGCTCAAATAGACAAAAATTTTTTGTTAAAATAGCTACTGTGATCATATAGGTAATTATTTTATTGTAGACGTTTCGACACATCATAGTGGCTTTAACAAGAATTCATAATCCGTAGTAACATAATGATGGTCAACTTAGCATTATACACCTGAGAGATATCACCCTCGCCAGTGTAATTATTGTTTGGTGAATGACTAAAATTAGAATTCCTACAAAAGCATAAAGGCTAGAATTGAAAATATAAAAAATTACAGTACATGTCATTAATGTAAATAGAAATTCTCTATAAATCTTTTCATGTTTTGTATTTTCTTCCCTCAGGGAATGTTCATTGATGTTGGATGAGCTCTTGATTTAGGAATTGGATCGTGTGCTCAGTTCCCCGAATTAACCTGAATGCCTAACCACACCCTCCCAGGCGCTGTATAATTCACTACGGGTTAAGCGCTTCACCTTTATAATAATAATAATAATATGTATTTTCTTGTAGATACAGTGTCAAAGTGTGTTAAAAATTGAATACTACTATGAAGCTCTGTAATAAATCGCTCTATACAGAGGAACATTATAAGAGAGTTTACTCTATTAAAAATATGTAAATAAGGTTGGATAGCGTAGATCCGCATTAAGAAATCTGGACAAACAACTTCGGAATGGAGAGATGTAAATTAGGATTAATGCCGAAATCTGTGTTAAACATGGAAGGAATTCCTGTGTGTTAATGTTAAGTGATACTGCTCACCCGTTCATGTTGTCTTATGTGAATACTGCCTCCACGATCGGCGCTGCCAACACTGTTACCACCACAAACGATCAGTGTAGCTCACACACCTTATATATACCCAGGTGATAACCTTACAGCCGAGGTTGTGGGCGGAGCTCCACAAACTGAGGCTGATGTTTTTGCTGCCTACTGCGTCAAAATGTGTTAGAGAGTCACGAGTGTTAAAACATCCTGGAATAATTCACATTTATCCTACAGCACCGCGGTTGGAAAATATCACAGAAATGGGTGAAAAGTGTGCTTGTCAGTGGCCTAGTTCAGCTATCAAAACTTTGGGGGCCCAGTACCTGGACCCATTACGTACCTCTGTAATCTGTAAATACCTTTGTAACTTGTCATGATTGTGACTAGACCTACCGGAGTTTATTACCTTTGTAAATTGTGAGTTCATTACCTCTGTAACTTGGAAATATAAACACAAATGCAGTATAATGTGATCCTTTATTGACAACGTTTCACCCACACAGTGGGCTTTTTCAAGTCACACACGGATCTACCTGGGGTTGGAAGGTACGAGAGTATTTATAGTCATGTTCAGAATGTTGAGGTCAGGTGGAGAATGCTGCATCTGATGATCTACCGGGTGGGGTTATAGAGTCTTGGGTAGCTTGGCAGGGGTATTGGACAAGTTGTAGAATGGCTGGAATGGGAAGATCTTCCCATTCCAGCCAGCGATTTCATCGACCTTGTTGAACTATGTGTTGGCTTTACATGTTTCTCCTTCGAAAATCACCTCTTTCAGCAGACTTTTGGACTACCCATGGGTTCGCCACTCAGTGCAGTCCTGGCGAACTTATACATGGAACATCTAGAAGCCGAACGTTTCTCCACCATTATTCCTTCGTCTGTCACCTGGCTCCGTTATGTTGAGACATTCTCCTCATAACTCCTAAACGCTTCAACGTTCAAGCTCTCCAAGACAAGTTCAACCAGGTCGAGCCTTCAGTCCAGTTCACACTTGAAGAAGAAGTCGACAACACTCTTCCTTTCCTTGATGTTCTGCTCTGAAAAGCTGACCACGAACTTCGTTTTAAAGTCTATCGAAAACCCACCAACCAAAACGATATTCTCCACTTCTACTCTCACCACGACACCAAAACCAAACGTGGTGTGATTATAGGCTTCTTCCTACGTGCACTCAGAATCTGCAGCAATGAGTTCCTTGAGGAAGAATGCACTATAATTGAACAAGTATTTTCTAAACTCCACTATCCTCGTCACTTCATCAGAGACTGCAGACGGCGGGCATTAAACATCTTCAACACACCCAGAGAAGACACTGCCGAGAAGAGATACATAGTCCTCCCCAACAACTCCATTGCCAAACATGTTTCCAACATCTTTGCCAAAACATCATTCCAAGTATCTACCTCCACAACCACGACCATCAAGGACATCACCAGTAGTAGACAGGACAAGCCTCCATCCTCTGCAGGGGTATACATAATCCCTTGTAATGACTGCAACAAATTATGTGGGCGAAACATCAAGAGACCTCCAAACACGCATTTCAGAACACCAATATGCAAGCAGGACTGACGATACAAGGAATGCCTGTGTACAACATCGCAATTCACACAACCATTTAATTAACTACAGAAACTCAAGACTTGTAGCCACAGAAGACAACACTCAATACAGAAGAATCCTGGAATCATCGCTTATCTCTATAACCAACAATTTCAACCAGAACAATGGCTTCTATAACATAGCTGAACCACTCGCCAAGAAACTTCTTCATCGCTATCCCACATAAGAACATAGAACACTGCAGAAGGTCTACAACTTGTCCAATACCCCTGCCAAGCTACCCAAGACTCTCTAACCCCACCCGGTAGATCATCAGCTGCAGCATTCTCCACCTGACCTCAGCATTCTGAACATGACTATAAATACTCTCGTACCTTCCAACCCCAGGTAGATCCGTGTGTGACTTGAAAAAGCCCACTGTGTGGGTGAAACGTTGTCAATAAAGGATCACATTATACTGCATTTGTGTTTATATTTCCATTGTGTCGGTATTTTATACCATTTATTTCCACCTCTGTAACTTGCTCAGCTATCAAAACTTTGGAGTCCAGTCCCTGGACCAATTATGTACCTCTGTAATCTTTTGACTACCGCCCACAGGATGGGTATGGGGTGCATAATAAACATATTAAACTAACTAACAGTGGCCTGGTGTGGGTGGTGACTGGATGATGGGTGATTCGGTGGGTGATTATGCAGCTGATGGTAATGAGTGTGGTGGGTAACAGATTAGTTATGTGGAGGCATGTTAAGGTGAAAGGTCAAGTGAAGTTTGTGGGTGAGGTCATAAGGGATATGTGGCCGTGAGACACGAATAGTGGTTGTGGGGGAGCTTGTGGCCATGGGAGGAATTGGTTGGGTGGATTGGGATAGTGTGGATGAAGGCATGTGGCTGTGGGGGATTTATAGGGGCAGGTGGTATGGGCATGGGGGTTGTTGCTGGGTTTACAGCGGGGGTGCGACCACGAGGTGGGGGGGGTCATTGGATGCATATCAGACATGTATGAATTAAACAACTCTCCCTTGTGGGATACTCATCCAACTTTGTAACATAACAAATGGTGATTTAATAGTAATAATAATTATTACTATTTACTATTATTATTAATTGTTACTTATTACCATTTATTATTATTATTATTTACTTTAGAAACATCGGACGAAGATGAGATTTACACCAAAAAATATTGTAGAACTTTGTAGAACTGTTTTTGATAACCTAAACTCATTACCAAACATTTTCGATGGTTTTTCACAGACGCCCGCCCGAGCTCAGCTCCCCCCCCCCGCCCCCCCGCCCCCCCCCGCCCTAATTATAACTTAGCTTATTGTGGGTTCTCCTCGGCTTCTCAGTTGTTTGTTGTGATGATGTGACGATGATACAATGTCTACGATGATGAAGTGAGGTGGTGATGTAAGCATTGTGATGTTGTGTTAGGTGACTGACCAGTGAGGAACGGATGCAAAGAGTAGAAGAACTGGTGGAAAATCAGTGTTTTATACTGAGGAGAGACTGAGGAACGGAAACCATACCACGGGCGGGGATAGAACCCGCGATCTATCTATGGAGTTTTGAGACTCTGATCACGGGTTCTATCGCCGCCCGTGGTATGGTTTGCAATCGTGTCATTACGATTTCGTGAGTCATGTTGAGGAAAGGAAGGAATCATTTACAATCCCGTGGGGGGAAATTGTAATATATGCCCTTTACCGTTTGTTTTATATATTTAAAATACCAAAAAAATAATTAAGAACTTTTGGGGATACAAAATATGCTCAATTTCTTCTATACAATTTATTTTTAATCTTGTTCATGCAGAGTCAACTATAACATCCTAAACATTAACAGTTTAGCACAAATTGAAAGCAGACTATTATTAAAATTTTCCTAGTAGAACCCGGCTACCCTCTTAATATTTTCGGGCCTCAGCGGATAACTGAAACAGTGGAAACTGGACCCGCGGATACGGGGATCCTACTGTATTTGACTAAAGCCAACTATGTAAGCAAAACATTTCGGTCTACGATAAAGATACACAGGGAGCAAGGGGCTAGTAACTCCTTCTCCCGTACAAATTACTAAATTTAAAAGAGAAACTTTCGTTTTTCTTTTTGGGCCACACTGCCTTGGTGGGATACGGCCGGTGTGTTGAAAGAAATAAAGATACACAACTGTAGCACGTGTTCCACTGTGGGAAAGTTGTGCGGGAATTCAAATCTATATATGTCGGATAGGTGTTTACGAGCCTCCAGGCAGTACTAAACTAGCATCACCTGTGTACTGCTGGCACAAACAGCCTGACTGTGTCGATGACCCAGGAACCACCAACAAGTGATCACAGCAACGCTGGTGGTGCGCTAAACCCGTGTGGATTATTCAGTGGTCTCAAAGACTTTCGTGTACTCAAGAGGCTTTGTCAAGTCACTTCCTGGTGGAAACGTCTCTCCAGTACACAGTACTGAGTTGTATGAAAAGTTATTGTTTTTGTATTAGTTTCTCACAGGAACGAATAACAACGCTACACTGAAACTATCTTTATCACACTGACAGATTCAAAGATACCAACAGCTGTAAACAACAGTTGTATCTTGAGCAGAATTTGATTCAGGAGAAGGAGAGAAGCTCAACTCAGCTTCCTGTATAAATAATTATACGAAATCAGTCAAATAGACATGAACAAAGAAAGTCTTTATTAAATATGACGTTTCGCCCAGTGAACTTTATCAGATTACTTTATAAAGTTTTCATTTAGCAAAACGTGTTAATAAAGATTCTGTCTACTGGTTTTTTAATGAACTCTGCGCATTGTTGACGAATAATGTTTGGGAGGTGAGGGACTTGCCTCTGAAGGCTCTTGCTGTACAGAACTGGACTTATCACTTCCTTTCTTGCATCACACCAAATTATCTCCGTCGTTAAAATAGGCTTATTATCTTTTAAGATGAGTTTAGTATCCGCTAAGATGGTATGAATTTCCTCCAAGATTTACATAGAGCTACTGGTAAGATGGTTCTAGAACTCGTGGTAAGTAGGTAGACAGGATTACTAAAAAGAGCCTCTTCAGCCTCTAGCATCTGCATTGTCTCCTGCTGCTACTGTTGCAGGAGATTTGCTCTTTCTTCGGCTGCAGGCACTCCCTCACATACGAAAGTATTATTACAGATGTCGGTCTCGAGTTGAAGACCAGTCTGCATCCTGTTACATTGGTCCGGATTGGCCGCCAGGCTGTTCCTGATTAAGCACATTTGTTCGATGATTTCAGGGCTGCAGCTGCTGCACTGGAAACCCACGATGTCCAAGGTTTTCGCCAACACTGCAACACGGGGAGAGACAGATTGAAATATTGAAAAATGAAAGTTTAACAACCGTGCTTGAAAAGTTTCACAAAAAATCTATAATATGAAAATGACAATTGAACGACGTTTGTGTTCGTCCTGGACCACTATTAAGTCTCCAGACAATTGAACGACGTTTGTGTTCGTCCTGGACCACTATTAAGTCTCCAGACAATTGAACGACGTTTGTGTTCGTCCTGGACCACTATTAAGTCTCCAGCTGCCAATCAGTGTAAACTTCATAGACCTCGATACTGGTTTGACTGGCAAATTGTTTACCTGGGGTTTACCTGGAGAGAGTTCCGGGGGTCAACGCCCCCGCGGCCCGGTCTGTGACTGTGCAGACAAGTGTTGTTAAAAAGAGAATTTTCAGACTATCATATAGGCCTCCATACTACAATATAATATTCTAAAGAGAGGGATTTGAACAGATACAACAGCAACTAGATTAGAATTTTGGTTTTCTGAGGACTAAAGTTTTCGAAATAAAATATTGAAACATTTTTATAGCTAAAGTCAACATAACGTGAAAATTAAAAAAATACATTGATGGTGCAGGAGTGTGGCATAAAGTGGAGGCTGTGTCAGGAAGCTTTCCTAAATGTCTTACAAGTGAAGGTTCCTTCAAGGTTGGTACCTTGTCGCTGGTGAAGGACTCTTGATCCCAGGAATTGAGGCTGCCCTTCCATCCTCGGATCAAGCATGGTCCATTGATATAGTGTGATCTCCTGCTGCCGTAGTCCATCCACTTCAAGGTTTGACGTGTTGTACGTTCATTTATGCTCTTATGCATACCACTGTTGCAACGTGTTGTTATATGAGTTAGTGTCATCTTCTGTTAGCTTGAACCAGTCGAGCCTTTCTCTAACCTCTCTCATTATCAAGACTTTTTTGCCCACAGAACTGCCGCTCACTGGATGTTTTGCTTTTCACACCATTCTATATAAACTCTTGAAAATGTTGTGAGAAATATCCCAGATCAGCAGTTAGAGATGCTCAAACCACCTCATCTGGCACCAACAATCATTCCACGGTCAAATTCACATAGATAACATTTGTTCTCTATTTTGATGTTCAGGTGTAGGTAATAGTGGCCAATAAGTGGAGATGTCGTGTCTAAGGGCAATGGGTGGTGTAAATATTATGCAAAGAATTCGTAGTGTGGAAATTAGGAGGTGTGGAGTTACTAAAAGTATTAAGAGGGCTGAGAAAGGGGTGTTAGGTGATTTGGTCATTTAGAGAGGACGGAGCAAAGTAGGATAACTTGAAGGGTGTATAAATCTGCAGTGGAGGGGAGGAGGGTTAGGGGTCGTTCTAGAAACGGATGAAGGAAGAGGGTGAAAGGTTTTGTATGTAAGGGACTTACAGCATGTGTGAGCGTGTTATGAGTGAATGGAGACAAATGTTTTTTGGGACTTGAGCTGTTGGAGTTTGAGCAGGGTAATATTTTGTGAAGGGATTCAGGGAAACTGGTTAGCCGGACTTGAATCCTAGAGGTGAGAAGTACAATGCCTGCACTTTACAGGAGGGATTTGGGATATTGGCTGTTTGGAATGACATCTGAACTTTAAAGTGCCGGCATTGTACTCCCAACCTCCAGGACTCAGTTCTGGCTAACCGGTTTCCCTGAATCCCTTGATAATATATTACCCTGCTCACGCTCCAACAGCTCAAGTCCGAAAAACCATTTGTCTCCATTCAATCCTATCTAACACATTCACACATGACTACTGGATGTACTGGATATATATTCAAAAGTTCCGGGGAGAATCTTGATTTTTCCCTGAAGTACGTTTATTCTCTGAGGATGAGGGTCGGACTCCAGTCCTGTTCTAGAAGTGGTACCTACCTACATATATATATATATATATATATATATATATATATATATATATATATAACCTGGAGTTTACCTGGAGAGGGTTTCGGGGGTCAACGCCCCCGCGGCTCGGTCTAAGACCAGTGTGTGTGTGTGTGTGTGTGCAAAGATGAGATGAAGGCTAGACATTATGGTCCGTCTCTCACCGTTACTAAGACACTCGCTACCTGGTAATGGTCCAGGGGTTACAGAAGTATCTACATTTTAGCCTCAGATTGTTGGTTGTAAGTTGTTACACCCGCTGTACTGTGATTTTCATTATTTTAATACTTGTAAACGTAACATCTTGTGTTTGACTCACCTCGTATTCCCAAAGCTCTGATATCACAGTTCTTCTCTGCAGGATTGTCGATAATGCAACCGACGAAGTGAGGAATGTTGTCAGGCTGCAACGCCCGCACCAGGTCCTTCAGAGCTGTTTCAGTACCAGCGCCCAGCTCTTCCAGTTGTGACGAATGTTGTCCTGAAGTGCAGGAAGCAGCACTCAGCACTGCCACCAACACTGCCATCAGTCGTGTTGCACGTCTGAAACACCACAGTAATCATCTAGGTGTCATAACAATGGTCAGTGGTAAGTGTACAAAATAATTGGTAATAGTTGCAGCTATTTTGGGTGCTCACGAGGCTGGTTAACGTTACAGATTTTCTGAGCACAAATGTTATCAAATATTAATGGTCTACAATACCGACAAATTCAAGAGTAAGACACATTATATATCTTTATTAACGAAACATGCAGGCTTAAGAGTGTAATTCTGAAGCCTTCCATGCAGGCTTTAAGAGTGTAATTCTGAAGTCTCGGCTCTCACTCGCAAACCAGTCATACCAGAAACATAATATAAATGTATGGGGAAGTTAGCTAGACATTGCTAAACCAACACACTGGGAATCACAAAACACACACACACACACACACACATATCGTTCCTCCTAACGAATCTGTTGTGACGTACTCATTTCTGCAACATTGCAAGCTCCTGATGTGTTGATTCCAACAAGAAAAACCTAGAGCTATCATTCAACTCTCCACTGTGGTTGTTTTGCATCTTGTATCGCTTGTACGCGATTTTTGCCTGTGGGTAAAATGCGTGACTGTTGACAGAGCATTAAACAGACACAGTGGGGGACGTTTTCTGTTCCCACGGCTGACTGTTTTATCATTTATATTCATAGTTTTTCTGTTGTGGCCTCACCTAACTTAGAAGTGAGTTGCAAACCCTGTGTTAAAAAAAAAAAGTGATGTAGTTAGAAGGATGGGTTGCGTTTCTGGGAGAAGCACTAGTTAGTGAAGGTTGTCTGTGACACTTCTTAAAACAATAAACCCTGCCATCACATGGCAGCCTAGAGTTACGTCCACTCACACTACTTCTGTAACTACTACCACTACAGTAACTACTACTACTACTGTAAATACTACTACCACTACAGTAACTACTACTACTGTAAATACTACTACCACTACAGTAACTACTACTACTGTAAATACTACTACCACTACAGTAACTACTACTACTGTAAATACTACTACCACTACAGTAACTACTACTACTGTAAATACTACTATCACTACAGTAACTACTACTACTGTAAATACTACTACCACTACAGTAACTACTACTACTGTAAATACTACTACCACTACAGTAACTACTACTACTGTAAATACTACTACCACTACAGTAACTACTACTACTGTAAATACTACTACCACTACAGTAACTACTACTACTGTAAATACTACTACCACTACAGTAACTACTACTACTGTAAATACTACTACCACTACAGTAACTACTACTACTGTAAATACTACTACCACTACAGTAACTACTACTACTGTAAATACTACTACCACTACAGTAACTACTACTACTGTAAATACTACTACCACTACAGTAACTACTACTACTGTAAATACTACTATCACTACAGTAACTACTACTACTGTAAATACTACTACCACTACAGTAACTACTACTACTGTAAATACTACTACCACTACAGTAACTACTACTACTGTAAATACTACTACCACTACAGTAACTACTACTACTGTAAATACTACTACCACTACAGTAACTACTACTACTGTAAATACTACTACCACTACAGTAACTACTACTACTGTAAATACTACTATCACTACAGTAACTACTACTACTATAAATACTACTACCACTACAGTAACTACTACTACTGTAAATACTACTACCACTACAGTAACTACTACTACTGTAAATACTACTACCACTACTAATACAACTGTTCCTACTACCACCTGTCTTTTACCTATTGTGACACCTATATATATGCCCTCTGTGCCTTGTAATGTTACTAACAACTTGACAGAACTGGAGAGTGGAACGTTGTCACAGTTGCATCTGTGTCCATTTACTAACATTTTGTCGGTAATTCTACCATTATTACTAACTTTTTCAAGGAAACATTTCGCCCACCAGAACCTTTACTAATCAACACAGTAGATTTAATTACAGACCCTTGAAGGCAGCAGGTGATATACTGGCGTACTTTTCTTCCTCCTTGATTAGCATTCATAAGTTGAGAATGCCTCTTCCTATCGGCTTCAAATTTTCAACGCTGGCGAAACATTTGCATAATATTTGGTTGTAACACATCACTAAATGTTTACAGTCATTGTAGGAGAGTCCCTAAATCTCTGCGAAGGGCTCTTGATACGAGGAATTAAGCTATCCTCCCATTCCTCATCATACCTCCCACTCCACAAGCGCTGTGGGACCTTCCTACGGTTTTAGCGCTTCCCCGTGAATATAATAGTTACACAAATAACCCGCACATAGGAGAGGAGAGCTTACGACGACGTTTCGGTCCTCTGTCCTATGGGCGGGTTATTTGTGTATTGTTCCAGTCACGGTATTGTGCCGCCTTTTATTTAATATAATAATTGACAGAAGATACCAAGCCTAAACGCAAGTTAAGTTTACATAAGAATAGTAAGTGAATGGATGGCAGGATAACTGGAGAGTAAATGGATGGTAGGATAACTGGAGAGTAAATGGATGGCAGGATAACTGGAGAGTAAATGGATGGCAGGATAACTGGAGAGTAAATGGATGGCAGGATAACTGGAGAGTAAATGGATGGCAGGATAACTGGAGAGTAAATGGATGGCAGGATAACTGGAGAGTAAATGGATGGCAGGATAACTGGAGAGTAAATGGATGGCAGGATAACTGGAGAGTAAATGGATGGTAGGATAACTGGAGAGTAAATGGATGGTAGGATAACTAGAGAGTAAATGGATGGCAGGATAACTGGAGAGTAAATGGATGGTAGGATAACTGGAGAGTAAATGGATGGCAGGATAACTGGAGAGTAAATGGATGGTAGGATAACTGGAGAGTAAATGGATGGTAGGATAACTGGAGAGTAAATGGATGGTAGGATAACTGGAGAGTAAATGGATGGCAGGATAACTGGAGAGTAAATGGATGGCAGGATAACTGGAGAGTAAATGGATGGCAGGATAACTGGAGAGTAAATGGATGGTAGGATAACTGGAGAGTAAATGGATGGTAGGATAACTAGAGTAAATGGATGGCAGGATAACTGGAGAGTAAATGGATGGTAGGATAACTGGAGAGTAAATGGATGGCAGGATAACTGGAGAGTAAATGGATGGTAGGATAACTGGAGAGTAAATGGATGGTAGGATAACTGGAGAGTAAATGGATGGTAGGATAACTGGAGAGTAAATGGATGGCAGGATAACTGGAGAGTAAATGGATGGTAGGATAACTAGAGAGTAAATGGATGGCAGGATAACTGGAGAGTAAATGGATGGTAGGATAACTGGAGAGTAAATGGATGGCAGGATAACTGGAGAGTAAATGGATGGCAGGATAACTGGAGAGTAAATGGATGGTTGGATAACTGGAGAGTAAATGGATGGCAGGATAACTGGAGAGTAAATGGATGGCAGGATAACTGGAGAGTAAATGGATGGTAGGATAACTAGAGTAAATGGATGGCAGGATAACTGGAGAGTAAATGGATGGTAGGATAACTGGAGAGTAAATGGATGGTAGGATAACTGGAGAGTAAATGGATGGCAGGATAACTGGAGAGTAAATGGATGGTAGGATAACTGGAGAGTAAATGGATGGTAGGATAACTGGAGAGTAAATGGATGGTAGGATAACTGGAGAGTAAATGGATGGCAGGATAACTGGAGAGTAAATGGATGGCAGGATAACTGGAGAGTAAATGGATGGTAGGATAACTGGAGAGTAAATGGATGGCAGGATAACTGGAGAGTAAATGGATGGCAGGATAACTGGAGAGTAAATGGATGGTAGGATAACTGGAGAGTAAATGGATGGCAGGATAACTGGAGAGTAAATGGATGGTAGGATAACTGGAGAGTAAATGGATGGCAGGATAACTGGAGAGTAAATGGATGGCAGGATAACTGGAGAGTAAATGGATGGCAGGATAACTGGAGAGTAAATGGATGGCAGGATAACTGGAGAGTAAATGGATGGCAGGATAACTGGAGAGTAAATGGATGGCAGGATAACTGGAGAGTAAATGGATGGCAGGATAACTGGAGAGTAAATGGATGGCAGGATAACTGGAGAGTAAATGGATGGGTTAATGGAGTTTGAAGTCCATCGACTACACGAGTTTCATTAATTAAGGCTACACGTTCACTGTCCACAACCCGACAAGACTTCTTTAATCTCTAAAATATTGATAATGGTCAACTCATCATGTACACACTGAGAGAAACACATCTCGCGATGTATATATGTTGTCTGGTGAATGGATAAAAGAATTCCTACAAAAGCATGAAAGGCAGAATGAATTATAGAGAAAATAAGTATAATCTAAATTTGAAAAATGAGTGAGCTGGTATGAGGGAGATGAGTTACAACAGTGAGACAGTTTTGTTACGAAGTTCAGATGACAGAGAAGTGGCTTCAGATATACCAACACCTATGGTTATAATTACTACCTTAAGCCAGCGAAAGGCCTCGGTCTGATGACCTAAAGCTCCAGTGGTGGATCATCATATAACTGAGACCCTTGTCAGGAAACACTTGATCTGTTTCCTGATAAATCTTACTTAACCTCACTTGTTTTTTAGATTTTAAATCTTCGAAAAATTATGGAAAGAAATGAGCGGAGAATCTATATTAAAAATAAATTTCAACACTGGGCAAAATACACAAATAACCCGCACATAAAAGAGAGAAGCTTACGACGACGTTTCGGTCCGATTTGGACCATTTACAAAGTCACAGTGTGACTTTGTAAATGGTCCAAGTCGGACCGAAACGTCGTCGTAAGCTCCTCTCTTCTATGTGCGGGTTATTTGTGTATCGTTCCAGTCAGGTATTGTGCCTTTTTTTGTTATTTACTGGGCAAAATTCTATATTTTCATAGTGTATTTTTAACATGCCTAAACACTCTTATAAATCTTTTCAATATTGTGTACATTTTTTTTAAAGGCAATGCAAAAGTGCATCAGAAATTGAATGCTA